TAGGTACCTTACCCAGTGAGAAAACTGAGCTAATGCTTATTGTGGTTAAAAACACACACATATACATAAAAACTGAACCTGGTTGCCTTTAGGTGTTGTGGAAAATCAACTTAACTGGGCAACGATGTATTACATCTGTTTATGCCACATGTTACTTTAACTATGCAAAGGTGTGTTACTTTTGTTTACACTGCATTTATTTAATTGTGTAAAGATGTGTTGCATCTGTTTCACCTTGCCTGCCTAAGGCACCTGAATGCTCTAATAAAGAACTGAATAGCCAATAGCTAGGCAGAGAAAGGATAGGTGGGGCTGGCAGGCAGGGAGGAGAAATCTAGGCTCAAGGGAGGGATGAGAGGATACAGAGAATGAAGGAGACACAGTGGCCAGTCAGGCAGCTGCCAGCCTGCAGACACAAGAAGCAATGAAAGCAAGACACACAGAAGGAAAGAAAGAAAAAAGCCTCAAGGCAAAAGATAAAGGCTGAGAGAGCTTCCCTACATGGGGAATGGGCTCCCAAAGCAATTCCACTCTTAGGCATGCCCAAAAGATGCATATTCATACAACAAGGACGTCTGTTCAGCTATGTTCATAGCAGCATTATTTGTAATATCCAGAACCTGGAAGTAACCTAGATGCCCTTCAACTGAAGAGTGGATAGAGAAAATGTGGTACATTTACACAATGGAGCACTACTCAGCGGACAAAAACAATGGAGTCTTGAAATTCATAGGCAAATGGATGGAACTAGAGGAAACCATTCTGAGTGAGGTAACCCAGTCACAAAAAGACAGACATGGTATGTACTCACTCATATATGGATTTTAGACATAGAGCAAAAGATTACCAGCCTACAATCCACAGCACCAGAAAAGCTAGGAAACAAGGAGGACCCTAAGAGAGACATACATGGTCCCCTGGAGAAGTGGAAAGAGACAAGATCTCCTGTGCTACTTGGGAGCATGGAGGGAGGGGAGAGGGAGCTAGGAGAAAGAGAAAGGGGAAAGAGGAGGAGAGAGGAGGACATGAGGGAGCAGGAAGATTGAATCAGGGGAAGAGTAGAGAACAAGAAAAGAGATAGCATAATAATAATAGAGAGAGCCATTATAGGTTTGAGGAGAAATCTGGCACTAGGGAAATGTCCAGAGATCTATTAGGATGACCCCAACAATCTAAGCAATAGTGGAGAGGCTGCCTTAAATGCCCTTCTCTGATAATGAGATTGATGACTACCTTATATGCCATCCTAGAGCCTTCATCCAGTGGCTGATGGAAGTAGAAGCAGACACCCACAGCTAAACACTGAGCCGAACTCCTGGAATCCAGTTGCAGATAGGGAGAAGTGATGATCAAAGGGGTCAAGACTATGCTGGAGAAACCCACAGCTGACCTGAATGAGGGGGAGCTCAAGGACCCCAGACTGATAGACAGGAAATCAGCATAGGGCTGTTCCAGACCCCCTGAACATGGGAAGTCTATGGGGTCTCTGGTAGGGGATCAGTATTTATCTGTAGTACACGAATGGACTTTGTGATCCCACTCCACATAGAGGGATACATAGCCTAGACACACAGGGGAGGGCCTAGGTCCTGTTCCAAATGATATGACAGACTTTGAAGATCCCCCATGGAAGGCCTCACCCTCCCTGGAGAGCAGAAAGGGGACGGGATAGGGAATTGTTGGAGCCAGGGGAGGAGAGGAGGGAGATGAACTGGGATTGACATGTAAAACATGCTTGTTTCTAATTTAAATTAAAAAATGGTTATTTTAAAAAAAAGTTTTATGTTAATTTCCAGCCTGGAAATGCCCTGGGGGTTTATAGCAGAAGAGTAAAACAAACAGACAAAATGTTAAGGAACTTTCAGCCTTTCATTCTGAAATCAAAAGTTTTGCTTCTCAACATTTACATGAGTTGAATCTATTGTTTACTTATTGAACAAGTGTTGTGGAATACTAATTTATGATGTGTTGCCGTTGTTTATGCAGTGGAACATTTGTTTCATGATGCAAACATGTTAGGCTCCATTTGTTTAACTCTGTGAAGCTGTGTTACTCTGCCTGCCTCAGACACCTGATTGGTTTAATAAAGAGCTGAATGGCCAATAGCAAGGCAGGAGAAATGATAGGCGGGGCTGATGGGCAGAGATTGTAAATAGGAGAAATCTAGGCTTAAGAGGAAAAGGAGTAACCCAGGGGCCAGCCAGCCAGTCACACAGCCAGCCATGAGTAAGGAGGATACAAAGGTACAAAGCCCAGAGCCAAGAGGTAGTTAAAGAGAAACAGGATAGTTTAAGTTAGAAAAGCTAAGGCTGGGCATTCATAAGAATACGTCTTCGTGTATTTATTTAGGAGCTGGGTGGTGGGCCCCCAAAGAGTAAAAACATCCAAGTACAAATGAGCAGGTAGGGGACTTTTGTGCTGTAAATAATACAAAGCCAGCACGATGAAGACTTTACCTTCCAGGCACGTTAGACCTTCTGGGTGTCAGGCGTGGAAAGAGAAAGGCAGGCAAGAAAGCGGCTTGGAAAAGAACGGTGCTGGAGGGACCACCAAATAGTGGTAAAGGGAGATTCCCAAGATGAGCAGGGTGAAAAGGCTGCCCCGTGCAACGCCCCCAGAGACCCATGGAGACAGAGAGCAGGGAGAGAGGCAGGGTGTAAGACGTGGCAGCTGGTCTGGCAGGATTCACTAAATAAACGTGCACAGTCAATCAGGTCAGGTAGGGTTCTTAGGCCTTGGCACAACTTTATGCTTTCTCAACTGTACCGGCAAACAGGGACAAACAACAAGGAAGCAGCCTAAATGCCACTTTTTAGAAGTGCGCCTTGGCATCTGTGTGGAGAAAAACAAAGCAAAACCTAGTATCAGAAGGCCTGGAAGCCAGCGGCTCTTAGGAGCCCAAGGTAGCAGCCCAGGTGTTGCTTTGCAGCTTAGCACTGGGCATGTTTTCTGGCCTCTGTAGGACGTAGGACTAATTCTAAAGAGTCAAGGAAACATGCAGAGACCACTTCTTAGGAAATGTGCTAGGCCAGTGCTCGCTGTGGACACAGATTCTCACCGAAGACTGATAAAATTCAGACTCCAATTCTCTTGGTCTGGGTAGAGGCTGAGCGCTTGTGGTTCCAGAGGTTTCCTGGACAGCGTAACGCTTCAGGTCTGTCCACCACAGTGGGAGAAGGGACTGGAACAAAATGCGACCCCAGATTTGCCTTATGCTGACTGTTCTATTCACTGAAACTCACGGCATGCCCAGTAAGACGAGCCAGGCTGCAGTTCAAGTCGACTTAAGCTACACGGCACAATTTGCACACGTTTCCGACATCCCGGGCCCACAAGGACCAGCAGCTAGCACACAACATGTATGTAGAGGGGCTTTCTTACGTGGAGCTTTGCTTGGGAGCTCTCTGCAGAGAGTGAAAACGTGTCCCGGTTGGCAGGTTGTCCCATGAGTTATCATGGTTCCCCATCCTGGTCTTTAACAAGCCAGGCCCTTTAAAGTCTTTTCTGCTAAGGTCAGATTAACCTTTTACAAATTTCCTCAAGATTATTTCTTCTACAAAACCTCTTGAAAGTCAAATTAGGTGTATGCTCCGCCTCCTCTAAATGTCCCATCTGCATTCGGTTTTCCCTCAGCGATGCGTTCCTGCCGTATTTTGCCTGTCAGAAATCCAAAACCCCAACCCCCATCTAACACACCCTTACCATTCAAACGCCACTGCCACAGCTACAGATCCCCACGTTACGTGGACCCACTCCACCATGTAGTTCACGTGTTTCCTATGTCTACATCCTTAGTGCAATCATCGCACTAGAAGAGAGTCGGTGACACTAACTACAAGACAGGTGCTGCACACAGTGAGATAAAGGTGCTTTTTCTACCAGGGGCTCTGCCAGGTCTACACACGGCGACGTCGGGGTCATCTGGCGGCCATGTTGCCAACAAATGGGCAGCCTGAGGGTGAGGACAATGGCAGGAAAGCCAACCAAGAGATCAAGGCCGAACCTGGAAAACCTCACGCTTGCCTCCTGCTGAGCTGGGAGAGCTCTCTCTCTCCTGAGCATCATTTACCGAGGGCATCTTCCTAGGTTGGATGGAGGCAGTCTGTTCAGAGGGATCCTTGCCAGGCTTAGCTTCAAGGCATCTGTGGTCAGCTTGTTACAGGACAGCTGCTCTTGCCACTTCCTTCTCTACTGTAGGTTTTGACCCAGTCACTCAAAACCAGAGTCACCCCAGGTGGTTTCAGATCGACATTTGCAGGACGTGTTATGAACATACACTCCCCTCAACCAAACTTTTAACGGTTTTAATATTAACATTTCTGTAACATGATGATAATATCAAAATTTATGGCACCAAGGACTTACTTTTATTACTTTGCAGGTAGATATACTTCTACATTTCTCTAGATTTTTGTATATTTGTGTATACACACACACACACACCTTTGCTGAATTTCTTTACTGCTTAAGTCTAAGTTTCCCAGTTAGTTTGCAGCTGAGAACCTCCAGGGCTCTTTATCCTCACCCACTGGAGATTTCTGAAGGAGTTCCACAGCCTCCTGCTGTGCTAGCCTGGACAGAGCAGTGGCAGCATGGGGCATTGTCTCTTCCCAGCAGCTTTGCTTTCTGGATCAGTTTACAAGGACCTTCTTAGCTTCAGCTGCTGATCTCCATTCCCTGCTCTGTCCTGCTCTTTGCGTATATAGAATCTGACCAAAGTCTTCCTGTCAAGCAGCTGGCTAAGGCTAGATCTATGCAGCCAGCAGCTGAGAAGGTCTCCGCACTCCAGGGCAAAGGTACTCATGCCAACATGGCGTGGGACAGACTAATATTCATTTGCCACCCGTTCACAGAACCCCTTCCTAACTAGAGCTGGGCTGAAGAACGGGGATTCCTTCATGAAGGAAGAAAGAACAGACCTCCACTGCTCTACTCTTTGCTATAAATGTGCTAATACGTCTATTGACAAACAGGGTTAAGAACAACTCTAGAAGACAGTGCACAGGATAAGATTATATTTTATTAGCGATCTTATATTACATATTCCCAAAAAGTTATAAAAATCTTCCAAGAGAAAAATATCAAAACCTGTTGATTTCAATGAGCAAAATAATCAGAATGAAAGCAGACATTTTCTTCTTGACAAAGGCCCGTGAAGACATTTCGGCACAAGTACAAAGACACAGGAAGAGAATTACAACGATTTATAGCATCTTACAGCATTTTACTTAAATCGCTATTGTTTAGAAAAGGAGGATGGTGATATTTGAACAATGCACCTAATAAACACAATTAAAATTTCAAGACGTGGGGAGAGAGTTGTAAAGCAAGGCCCCGGCCCGCTGAACACCTGCGACAATAGATATAATGAAATCTAGCCAAACAGATGACTGACGTGAGGCTGCCTGTGCATGTGTGCCACAGAAACTGAATTATTTAGTTAGTTCTTGACCATAACCCAAGGCAAAAAGCCCTCTCTTCATCTCCCTGATGCCGCAGACTGAAAATAACTTTAAGTAGCAGAAACTTGCTGGTTAAATAGAGTTTCTGCTTCACCTATGAGTAAATAGCTTGTGGCACCAACACGCACTGAGTAAGAGCCCCACCGACACAGGGCAGATCCACTTTTATTGCATCAGCCTCCATTTCATGTCACCAGACTTCCTGTAGACACTTAACCACAGCACACAGTGAACAGTGAACACCCACAGGAAGGTGCACCCTTAGGATACAACGAGAATACTGATCACATTCCTAGGATTGGCTCCTGGCTATCCTAGCCAATGTCTGTAGAGGTCTACAGAAGGAAGTCACTTTATTGTGTTTTAGTTGCTTATTCCCCAACAAACGAGGAAGGGAATGTACATCATATGCTTATTGCACGAAGTTATACCCTTGCAGTATTGTCGTCAACTCTGGTACTGTTTCCTTAACGATTGCAGGCAAAGGAGTTTGTAAGCAGAACAGAACAGAGAACGTAGGAGCTGTGTCCTGAGCAGAAAGTCAGATGACTATCGGAATAAACGGTGAGGTGGAAATGAGTTTTCTCTGTAAGGTATTGGAATGGCAAGAGGTAAATGGAAGCTTAAAGTCAGATAATACTAAACCAGGTTATGACACTGAAGAGAGTTTTTCAAGTGTACACAACCAGAGAATCCATTTCTAGGCAGACATTAAATACTACTATTATATTACAGAAACAATGATCTCAAATTAACTTAAAGTCCTGTGACGGTACATGGGCTAGAGTAACACTCTGAGTTCACCACACGCAAGAGTTTGGGACATGTTCTTTAGCCAGAGACATCAAGATGAGCCACATGCGCGGGTTCTAAAACAGCCTGTCCTTAAAGCATTCTCTCTTTAAAATGGTTACTACTGTGAAATGCAAACAGTATTTGGATCTCGTGTGCTACAAAATCCTTGCTTCAAGTTGCAGTTTCCTTGGCAGCAGCATATTTTAATTAACAATATTTTTCTTCCTTGTTTTGTTTTCTGACATCTCAGTACATTCAAATAGTCAAAATGTTTAGAGTAACACCACCACAAATGTAATGAAACAGATCAGAATGTGGCCAGCATTATCAAGCAAAAGTTACATAATTTATGTGTCATAGAAAGTACCCATCCCCGGTCCCAGCCTCCCAACACCCCTCCCTTTCCCAAACATTAATATGGACACCAAAAGACTTAACAAGACTTATAAAAAAATAAGGCACATTTATTTTTGATATGGTAATTTAAAAATAGAAACCCCGCCTTGGAACACCTGTATCCAAATGAGCTGTGTACAAAGACACCTTGTGGCACCGAAAATGGAATTGTTTCTTCCGTTTCAGTGACAATGGGATAAATCGCACCTATCCCACATCGTCAAGTAATGAAAATATGTCTCTCTTTCTACTGGTGAATGACTACAAAAATCAGTTATTACCTTAAATGTATGGGTGGGGAAGGGCGGTCAAGAGGTCCGTTGGGAAAGAGTCTGAAAATCAACTACATTTATCATAAGGGTTGAGGGATTGCACTTTTCCACATATTTGAAACACTTACAAAAAATTAAATTTGTAGCAGTGATCAATGATTACAACTATTTTGGCCATCAAACTACCCCCCACCAGCTTCTGTTTTTTTTTTTTTCCCCTTTCCATTTAGGTCAAGGGTATCTTTTTTATGTAAAACTAAGGATCAGAAAAATGAACATTTTGAAGAATCTCTTTACAGCCCTCGATGCAAACCTAATTAGTTGGCATTGACCTGAGACACAGTCTGTTGAGGGTCGTCGTTCAATACTTCTTCATTTTTGTTCCGTCAGTTCACGCTGACAGTGGTGCTCTGAGGGACAAACTTAGAAAAAGAAACCTTTTTGAAAGCATGGCTTTTCTTCTTTTCTTACTAGACTGGTTTAAAAAAAAATAAATCACAGAATTCATGTTCTCACAGTAGCCAGAAGCTAAAGTAATGTGCTTAGTTATTGCACGTAAAAACCAAGGAAGGTAAGGAAGCCAGGGTTTCTCCACTCAAATCTGACAGTCAGTTTCACCTCAAGCGGATACGGAATGTGCTGATCTCCATGGGACTCAGATTGACTTCACTTAGATTCTGGGCATCTGGAGGTGAATGCATCAAGGACAGAGAGGAAGGGATGAGGCTCTCCACAGCAAACTTGTTGAAAAGTTTTGGGACTGACATCTAAAAAAAAAACAAGTGACAAGATTTTCATATTCAGATCAACCCTGAGAGAAGGCTAGTAGCACATCTATAAAATCAACTTAAGGAAAGCACAGGAAGGAATGCATTTATATGCTGAATTTCCCTTTAAGAAAACGGAGGAGGAAGGACATTCCTGAACATAAACTATCCTTGGAGAGACACATGCTGTGGGCTGTTTCTTTGCATTTCTTGTAGTATTATACGTGGACATTTTCAATATGACAGTCATATAAGTCCCTGTGGTCCCTGAGGTTTCGATTGATCAATATTCATCCCTAAAAATGGTGATTCTAAACCACTACCACCCCTTTCCCAAAAGAATTGAAAAATGAGACACGGGTTCATTATAACAATGGCTCATTATATTACTGACCTCAACCTACAGGGACACTGAGAAAATATATTCTTCACCTTGCCAGGTTACCCTAAAGTGTTTCTTGGAATAATGTATCTCTGGTAACCCTCTTAAGACTCAATACCTCAACACTAGAAGGTTCACTACACATATTCAGATTATCACTAATACTGGAAAACACACACATAGGAAGGGCGGGACCTCACAATGTGTGCTGACTTACAGCATTGGGACAAGATTGCTTGAGTCTGTTCGGTGGTGTGCCTATGCAGCTCCGGCAGGAAGCTGGCTCTGCAAGATGCTGGGTGGGAGGACCTGGCTGTGTGCAGGGACCAGACAACTGCTTTGTGAGCCATGACTCACTTGGAGGCAGGAGACTGATGTTCATCCTTCCAAGGAGAGGCTGATGAACTGCCAGCAGGCCAACTTAAGGAGAAAAATCAAGACCAGGCAAGCAGCCAGCAGGGTGTGGACTAACGAGCCATCTGATCTCCACAGTGATGACTCAGACGCAATCTGGATCAATCAGGAGACCCAGAGACATATTTGCTTCTCCAAATGAAGCAACTGACTTGAGCTCTGCACAGCTGCCTCTGGATCCTACTCAAGCATTCATTGACCACGGTCTTGATGTTTATGTCATAACTTTATTCTTATGGCAATCATCAGTTATTTTAAAATTTCTCAGCCTTTGTGGAATAGGGGTTCTAACTACCATGGCTAAACTACGTGGTATGTGAGCATGGACTGCCCAGAAGAGTTGAAAATGGGAAGCTGTATGGTGCTCTGGAGTGCCCAAATGGAAGACCAAAGAGAGGATATGAACATTGACTTCAAACATACAGGTTCCAGCCATGTATTTGAAGCTGAGAAGGACCGAACTTAGGTGGAGCAAGTGTTTTCTGGAGATGAGGAGACTGAGGCTGGCTTGCAGGCAAGAGGGAACAAATGAGCTCTGGGCAATGAAAAGCCGTATCGTACTATCCGCAGAAAGTCAAGATTTCAAGCTTACACTGTCTTGACTAGCAAACACACACTCTTAACTTACCTTTCCCTGAGTAGTAGAGCAGTAAAGACCCATGCCTCTACTGGAGAACTGGCAGTCGAACCCTTTCCTGTGGAGGATCAAGGCTGCTTCATCTGAGTAGCCTTTGCCCATCTGAAAACGAGAACACCAAAGAACCACACACACATTAATGTGAGTATTTACAGCATGCCACACAGCACTGTGGGATGTCTGTACATTTATTCAGCAATGAGATATGATAAGTTCATCTCTTCAAAGGTTTCACATTGGTTGAGCCCACCCATTTCTATCCCAACTCAAGTTTACCATTAAGGTCCTGATTAGGTAACTTGATGCCTTTGTTTCCCCCCTGATCCCTAATGAGATAGCTTTCCTTTTGCCCACATACTGTTTTATTAAAGTATCCTCAAATAAAATAATTTAGTGTTTTTTACATACACATAGACTGAAGAAAACATAAACTTAGGTCTGGTCAAGCGACAACATAACATCAGCTGTGGCATGGGAAAGCTCCTTTCCATGAATCACTACTTTCTGTGAGGTGCACTAACATTTTTAGTATTTAATGTATGTTGATTCATTATTGTTATACAAGAGACATTTAAATTGAATTAGTTATGCTGTGCCAATCCACATATATTAACTTGATATATAATTTTAAGCTCACATTACAGGAATCCTCCTGGGTCAAACATAAGTAGTCAGTGATGAGGAGAACATACATTTCATTTGTTTCTTTATTCGTTGCAATAAAGTCTGTTGCATCCATCTAAATATTATTTGGATTTTGGGGTATTTGAAGTTAGAAACATCCTAACATATATTTTTTTCTAAAATGTAAAGATGGGGCCGGAAGAGATGACCCAATGAGAAAAAGCACTTGGTTGAGCAAGCCTGATGATCTGAGTTCAAATCCCCAGGGCCTACATACAAGACAGAAGCAAAGTGGGAGCATCTCCAGTCCTGGCCGCCCTCCCTGAAAATGAGAGAAGGAGATGGCATCTCTGGGTGCACAGGTCAGTTAGCCCAGCTCACCCAGCAGCGAAGACCCCACCTCAAACAAGGGAGAAAAGGCAAGGACCAACACTGGCAGGCTTCTAGCTTCCACATGTGGCCTGCAGACCCCACACGTACTCACAAATGCACTCAAATACACACAAAAGAAAAAAAAGTGTCATGGTGTTGGTGGGGATAAGCGAAATGATTAAAAACTCTATGGAACTTTTATGACATGTAAGCTTTTCAAAGGAAAAGCACACAGGATTTACTTCTCTCTTCTCTAGCATGAGAGATGACATGGCCAAGCTCATGGAGATGAATCATCCCTAGAGGCCAAGCTCTGTTTCAGGTGATGTCTTTCCTGAGTAGCTGCCAGATCTCCCTGTGCCTAGGGGCCTCAGTAGTTTACAGTGCCCACCCCTGCCTCAGGGTTTGACCTGGGATACCACTCTAGGATGCTGTGCACTGCCATTATTTCTAGTGATACTGCAGGATTTTCTGAAGGGAGAGAAAAAGATTTAAAGAACTCCAAGTCATCAGGGGACCATGATATACACAGCAACTTTAAATCTATAGATGATAAACATGTCCAATAAAACTTCAACAAAATGTGTCCGGGTACACATTTCACAGCATAAAAATAGCACATAGGAGACCCTTCACTAATTATACACAGATCATCATAAGAATAAAAAAAGAGAACTCAATCCTGTCCCAATGGTGGCACCTGGGAACAGCAACTTATTTTGAACATCAATTTGCCTATAAAATAGAGTGTCTGCCTGCTTCCTGCACAAATTCACCTGTGTGCGACTCCAGCAGGGATTCTGTCTGTAGAGGTCTCATGGACCTCAAAGGACAAGATGCTTTAGTCGACAAAGCAGAGTGGTTCAGAAACTGGCTGAGGACTTGGGCAGCCACGCTGTGCTCTGCAATTCCATAGCTGCATTAGTAAAACCAGGTTTTTCCTTTTCTATGAAATAGAGATGGAATAACACAGAAAAGATGTGGTCCAGTGTTTGATATAGGATGCCCTTGCCATGTTAGCTACTTGTGTTTTTAAAGAAATACATCAGATCAAAGATAGGTGATTACTTCATAAACACTACAAATTAATACAAATGAAGTTCATATTCATAAATTTCCCCCAATGACGTTATAACTTTGTAGCTAAAGAATAAGAGAACTGTCCTATCATATATCAAAGCCCCAAAGTGGATTTCAGATAAGATGCCTTCTTAATTAAACTCTTTTAGAAGTACTTGTCACTATTAACCTAAAATATGTGGCATTTTTAATTCTCTGAAGCATTCATAAAAGCCACTTAACCTAGTACTATAGAATATTACACACACGCGCACACACACACACACACACACACACACACACACGAAAGAAATCTAAATGGAATAACCAAATAACAGGAGAGAATGCCCCAAGTAGACATCTTTCACCACTAAGTGAAACTTCCAGTGCCAAGAATGGGCTACATTTGGTTGATTCTTTTGGTCAAAGGAGCCCTGTGGAAACCCCCAAACATCAGGGCTATTGCCAAGGCTATTGGTTGCCCTCCACAAACTAAAGGTAAGGCCCTACTGCTGAAGACAATACTTACGTATTTCACTAAAGGTAAGGCCCTATTGCTGAAGACAATACTTATATATTTCACTGAGCATGAAGAAGTCGAACTTCATTTACATTCCTACTCACAAATCCATAAAACTACTGTTGTGCTAAGGGAATGCAGCAATAAAATGACTCCTAACAACTCTCTGCTCTATTCATAGATCAGTGCCTCACTCAGACATCATCAGAACAGCTTTATCCTGCAGCATATGGGAACCAACTCAGACACCCACAACTGGACAATGTTCCGAGTGAGAAACTTGAGAGTACTCAGTCTCGAGGGGGTGTCTCTATCAAATTCCTCCCTTTGAGGCTCAGGGATCTGTGCAGAAGAGGAGACAGAAAGATTCTAAGAGCCAGAGGGGACGGAGGACTCCAACGAAGCAGTGTCTTCCAGACACAACGGGACCGACACACATATGAACGCAGAGACCAAGGCAGCATGCACAGGGCCTGCATGAGTCAGATGGGGTCCCCAGGCTTACAGTGGGACATTGACACAGCTCCACCCCTAGCCAAGAAGCTATCTGCGATTGACACCCACTTGCTAAGGACAAATCAGTTTCTCCAATGGAACCTCACTGGGTATATATATCACCCCTCCTCAGGGCAAGCCCATGCCCAGGAGTAGTTACCCAACTCAAAACAAACTCAACGGTGGCTTTTATAAACTTTTAATCTCATTTTGCTTTGTTTGGGTAAGCTTGAGACTCCCTCTTGGAACTAGCCACTCTGGAGAGGACATGCGTGATGGCAAATGACTGCCTCAACTATACCCTCAGCCACAGACAGCAATGACTTCCTGGATTGTGATCAAGTCAACCCAGTCCCTGTTCTGAGAAGGGGAAGTGACTTGGACTCCCATTCCTAACCAAAAAGCTATTTGTTCTTGACACTCTCTAGAACAGGCCCCATAAGCAGCAACAGATGCCAACATAAAACACACTCAACAGCACTTTGTAGACTTTTGGTCTTGCATTGCTTTCTTTGGGATTTTTTTAACCTTACTGATTTTTTTGTTTGTATATAATAGCTTCTGATTCAGTGCTTGTGCATGCATGTGTGCATGCGTGTGTGCGTGTGTGTGTGTGTGCATGCGTGTGTGCATGTGTGTGTGTGTGCATGCGTGTGTGCGTGTGCGTGTGCGTGTGCGTGTGTGGCTGTTTGCCGATTTTCTAAAGAGAGAGAGAATTGGTGTAGAGTTCTTGAATGGGGTGGGGAGGATGAAGGAGGAGCTGGAGGAGAATAAAGCATTATCAGAATACATTCTATGAAAGATTTTCAATAAGATAACATTAATTACAAGAAGTAGGGAAACTGAGTTTAACTTGAATATGCATTCAAGACAACTTTCACACATTCACGCAGTTACACTATGTGTTCTAGGAAAGAAAATAGATGTTGAAATAAAAAAAACACTAACAATGTTATTAATATCAGAACCTCAGAGAAGGAGAGGGTTGTGGGGAAAAATGTATACCTTATGAAAACTGCACCAAGTACTATGTTTAGCAATTGTCTCTGTGGCATAGGCCAGGTCACATTTGAGGGTGAATAACCGAGTTCAGGCTGAGTGTTCAACAGTCAAAAATCCATTACAAAAGTCACTTCCAAAGATAAAGTCCAACATTCATGGAACTAGGCTGTGAGGCCACTCCCGTGACTGGATAGAACAGGGGAAAGATGAACTAGCGTGACGAATGAACCCGCAGACAAGCCTGGGATTAGAGAACACTGGATTGGAGTGAGGTCTGGTTCCACAAGCCAGTCATGAGGTTCTGAATAATCATTCATTTCCAGTAAATGCAGGGAGCTGGGTTAGAGTCCTGAAGAGTCCCTCCGACCAAAGGCTAACCATTGTGAGAGTGACAGTGATTACTAAGACGTGATTAACACAGGCTGTATGCCAGGCAACATATGCAATGCTGTTCACGGATGAACTCACTTTATGTCACAATAACCTTTAAGGTGGCCAACAAGCTTAGACATAATATAATGTCAGCAAGCTTGTATACGGAGGAAAGGGCCCACCACAAAGCACCTTCTCTCACAGTCTGAAAGAGAGCCAGGATGACTCACCACCCTGCTTCACCACCCTAGGACCTTACCATCCAATGGTTACTATGCCTCTGTAAGAAAAGTCTGCAACACTTTCAGCAGTATCTTTCCCTTCTTGTTTCTATGCTAAGAGGAAGCATGGGATGAGCTCTAACTGGCCAGAGTCTCCAAAATCAGCCTCCTCATAGGACTTCAAAGGTGTTCACATACTAAGCTAAATATCCTAAATATCTTATAGCAAAATTTCTCTAAACTGCTCAGATTCTTCAAGAATTTAGACTTTTAGAAACATGTTTAGTAACGCACAACATTCATCTTCATTGTATTCTGGCAGTGAAAAAAATCCTACACTTCACTGCAACTCCCGAGACCGAAAGTAACCAGTAAAAATTCATTTTTCAGGACACTCATTAACATGCCCAGTAACAGTTCTGGGTTTTGATCAACAA